CAAGTAGCGGAATGCTACAGAGGTAAACAAACAATATCATTTGGAAGAGGATTAATAAGTGTTGACATTCATACAAATGAGTAATCCTGTAAACGTAAACAGAATATTTTATATAGATTTTTTTTAATGAAAACTTAAAATCCTGCATTATTTTCCGGACAACCCAATATTATTAAAGAATTTCTGAACTAGTTGAGAAAGTTGTTGAAGAAGTCAATATTATTATTAATTTCTAATACTGTGCAGTCTATTGATAGGAGAATGGTACAAGTAGTTCGTGGTAGTTGATGGAGTGGAGAAGATTGAGCAGGATTGGATTCGGTTCATGGGGATGTAGAAATTTTGGCAAAAATATTGAAAAATGATATTAATAAAGTATGATGAACTCATTGGGAAAACCCTCAAAAAACTTTGCGGTAAATACTAAATTCCAACTGAATAAATTGTACAAAGAAACATGCACCAATACTGTGATGAATTTAACAACTTCTTTATTATAAGTAAAAATGTGACCAAAAACAAAAATCTAGAATATCAAAAAAATTCAATAAATTTCTCTGTTGATAATAGTACAAAGTTTTATTTTCAAATCATTCTCCGGTGCTATAGTGAATTTTCTTTCAAATCATCATACTTAAATAATTGTTTAAAATTCATGAATTTCTGATCTCGTTTAAGTTGGTTTACATTAAAATGTGTATTTTGTAATTAATATAACATAAGAATACTTATAGTTTGAAATAAACAATAAAATACAATTGTCCTGTTTTTTGTATTTGGGTGTACATCAATTTTAACATCTGAAACTTAAAATGTGGTTTTAAACATTATCTCTTGTCTATGTCCTTTATAATTAATCCATTTATGTTTTAGTGGTCAATTGACCAAGTCACTTCTTTCAATTAATTATTCTTTTTATGTAAGGTCTTGGTTGAGATTAAAAAGTCAGTGTCACAAGCGGGATTCGAACCCACGACCTTTGGCTAAATACGCTGCTGCTCTACCACTTGAGCTATCATGACTTTGATCCATTCCAGGACACCAACTCTCCATCACAACCTACAATATCCTTTATAATGTTGACTGGTGCTACTGATTGTATAAATGTAGTTGTTAGCATTATAGATATAGAAACAATTTGAAGGTTTAGAATTTATATCATCATTGAAACACCTAGAAAGAGAATATAAATTATTTTGGAGGATTAAGTGGTAAGAATAAGAATAAGAATCTAGATCTCGGTATGGTCTGGATAAAAAACAAATTCAATTGTTATTGTTATGCAGAGATCTAGATTATTTGCAAGTAAAAAAAAGTGGTCGATACAGCTAAAACTGTAAACAGAATAAAAAGAAACGGGTTTAAAAATCTTTAAAACGTGCAAAGAGAATTATTATTAAGGTCAATGTAAATGCCATTTATGAAAACAAGAAACAACAGAGGCCCTAAGTGAGATCTCTGAGGAACTCCGCTCCCTGAAATAATCGATCATGTTATTTTTATCTTGTGGTAAATAGGAATGTCTTTTAAAATACCAATGGAAAAAATGATATTGTAATGTTAGGAATTTTTACTTTAATTTCGTTTTTTTACAACTTTTTAGCACTAATTTAAACGAAGTTAAGGGTGCAAATTCGATTGAAAATATCATCAATTTGTTTTTATTCGAAAATTGAGCAAAATCGCTTTTTTTATCAAGATGATAATTTTACTATTTCCTTATGGCCTCCTGGCCCGGGAAATTCGAAAGTTGGTGAGTATGAGGCGACATGACGACACAAGCGAAAGACTCCGCACTTGCGATTCTAGTAACCCACTGCCCAGACCCAGATCCGTCTGCCGGTGAGAGAAAGTCAGACACAGACTCAGACGGGAGGGAAAAGTTGGCAAATTGGATTTACCCCTCGGATCGGACCCTGTGACCCTTTCCGTACTCTTCTGATATGAGAAAGAGCCTTTCCGTGAAATGACGGAAACGGTCTTATCAAAGGCGAACATTCATTTTGAAGGGCATTTCGAAGGTGATAGCAGCCGTAAGATTACAACACGAGTTTGACCTCATTAAATATTGGTCTGTCGTCCGAGCTAAAGCCGCCGGGATTGATAAATACTGGTACGACGAAATGACGACTCACAAGAACGCCGGTAAGTCGCCTGCCTACACGTAGTTGCGAAGCGGTAAACATTTTTCACTTACGAATTTCCAGGTTGCACAATTTTAAAAAGAATGACGTTTTAATGGTGTAGGGTTGTTTTCTCGGAGAAATAGAGCGAGTGAGAGGATAAAAGAGAAAATCCTTTTTTTCAGCTTCACTTTTCGATAGTTTTTCACAAAATTTGTCACATGATTGAAGAGTTTTCCCATTGAGTAAGATGTCACTTTCTGTGAATCAGTGATCCCAACTTCTTCATTGTACAATATAAAATATAGACAAAATACATGGAACATTTAGAAATTCTCTTTGATTCGAGTGATTATTTTATTCTCACCATTTAAACGAAAAGCACATTTTTGCACTTTAATAATAATGCAAACATCTATAAGGAGCCTATAGTCATAAGCTTTTATGCAAACATTTTTTTTATAGTCTTATGTGTATATTTAAATTTAAATTACTTATATTACATTTTGTTTATCACACTCACATATTAACTTTTTCTCTCTTTCAATAAAAAAAATTTTCTACCAATTTCTGTACAAAATTTACTTTTTAAAAGGTATACTCGACTCCTAGGCATTTTTGCCTCATACTGGTTATTTTTTGTGTTGTTCCAAAATATCTGTACAACGGTAGAAGTTTTATTTAGATTAAAATCATTTATTTTTAATTTAATTTAATTGTAATATTTTGCATTGAAAAACATTTGTACGATCAATTAATTGGAAAGATTGATGTCTAGATAATTATATCTTGACAATTTAGCTTTGAAAGCATTTTGCAGATATATTCTAAAACATGTTCAAAGGATTTTTTAACGGGTTTTTGTGGGTTCATGCAAAAGACTTCTCTCCTCCACTGCGACCTAAACAGGTCAGGAAAGTGCTCAATTCCTTATCAAATATGTATATTGTATTGTATTTGTTTAGTATACCTACCAGTGAATAGTATTTATCTGTATACTACATTTGTTGTGGGCAGCTGCCTGTTAAATAAGTAAATAAAATTGAGCACTTTCCTCTTGTGGATCTCCTTGGTTATGAGAAATATCCTACCAAAGTGGTTGTACCGTACACGGGCGATGTCTCTGGTTCCTCCTGGCAGAGCCAGCATGTTTCCTTCTCTGCTTTATCCATTTCTTCCAAGATGATAGTTAAGAGGCAGTGGCTGGTATAGGGGCTTATAATTTTCCTCCTCCTGCCTGCTGAGAGAGATGAGTTACTTCGCCTTCTGTTTTGTGAGATTTATAAAGCTTTAGCTCTTAGCTTGCATACTTGGTGCATTTGTACAATGATTGAGTTTTTCTTTTTCAATCCATTTTTCCAATTCAACTTAGCAAACACTCTCTAGAGTGCTTAGTTGTGGTTCTGGGCTCATGGGTGAAAGGGCTGCCCCTTTTTTGGCTAATTGGTCAACCTGTTCATTTCCTTCTATGCTTTCATATCCGTGAACCACTTTGTTGTAATCTTGTTTTGCTTTCCCATAGTCATTAGGCAGTTTAGACACTCCCAGACAAGTTTGGAGTTGGAGTGCTAAAAGGATACTAATGAATGTTTTTATTAAACATATTCAATTTATTATACACAATTTTTTGAATGAAGTCACAGAGCTCAAGTGGTAGAACGTTGGGTATCTGTTCAAAGATCATGGGTAGAATCTTGCCTTTGACACAATTTTTTAGTTATGAATATTTTGTAAACATAACTAGCCAAAATGTATTGTAATTTGGTTGTTATTGATCACCTATCCTTGCTAGTTTGGTGTTCAGACACATTTCAGCATTTCACCATTTTCGGTGTGCATAAAATAGAAGAAGTTTTATTACTTAACTAAGTTTTACATTGATTTAATTTAATTAGAACATAATTTTATACTGTGTTTATTTTTTCATCTGATAGTATTTCCCTTATTCACTTTATTATCTATGATTATTTTGTAAAAACATCTACCTAAACTCATCAGTAAATGTGACAGCTAGACAGTTCTGCCTCATTTTGATAATATTTCGCGCTTCAAAATATTTATGCAAAAGGTGAATTGCAACATTTTGCATTCAAAACCTTCATTATGGACAATTAGTTAATAAGTTTGACAGCTAGACAATTTTATCTCGTTTGGTAGCATTTTGTGAATATTTTCTAAAATGTACTACAAGGTGTTTGAATTTATTTGTACAGCCAAGAAGTTTTAACTTTCATTCAGTTGAATTGCAACATAATTTTTCCATTTCATAGCATTTCTTTGTACACTTTATTAGAAATTGTAATTAGATAGTTATCGATCATTTTGGTCTGCCAATTCTTGTCAGATTGGTCAGTCAGACATGTTTCAGCATTTTGCCATATTCAGTGAGTATGTCTCTCTAAGAAATATCACAATTCAAAACTTATTGTCTGATTGACATTTTTGCCTCATATAGTATTTTACATTGTACCAAATTTGTACAAAAGGAACATTTTAGTTTAATTTCAGTTGATTGCAACATTAAAACCTTTGTTATGGTCATTAATTGATAAATTTAATGACTGGACAGTTTTACCTTGTTTGATAGTATTTTGCAAAGATTTTCTAAAATATGCTTATAACGGTTTGAATTTGAATTTATTTATACTGCCTAGAAGTTTTTAACTTTGTGGAATATAACTGTTAAATGATTTTTTACTTTATTTATTTTTTACCCATTTGATTCACTAATATTTTGTAAAAACGTCTAGTGAAACTGATCAATAATGTGACAGCTGGAAATTTCTCCTCAATCTGGTAATATTTCAGGTTTCAAAATAAATATAAAAAACGAGAAGTTTTACTTGGATTTAATTTTGCATTTTATTTAAAATTTTATAAAAACTTTGTTTGGGATAACTTAATTGATAAGTCAGGGTAGACAAGAATATATCTTGTTTGATTTCATTTTGCAAATATTTTCAGTGATGGGTTGTCATTTTTGCACTGCGTTGGTAATTTTCTTATGCTCCAAATAATTTAACATTTATGTTGTCTTGATCACTGATTTCTCTTTTATTTTGTCTCGTTTGATCTGCAGATTTTTTTGGCTTGCATTTGTAGTCTATTGTTTGGCTTGCATTTGTAGTCTATTGTTTGTTTTTTGTGCTTATACAAAAATGTTTATTACGCTGAGAAGTTTTACTTTGATTTAATCTATCTACATATTGCATTTTATTTATAATTTTTGAAAACCTATATACGTGAACTTAATTGATATGCTTGATAGCTAGATAATTTTATATTGTTTGTTATCATTTTGCAAATTTTCTTTCAATTTATTCCGGAAGGTAAACTTCTAATCAAAATTTTTTAATAAATGTGACGGATATCCTGCCTCGTTTTGATATTCTGTGTTCCAAAATTTTTATATAGCCTAGAAGATAAGCTTTGCAACATAATTTTCTAATTCATTCAGAAATGCTTTATTGAGCATTGGTAGCCCCACGGATAAAGTGCTGACATGTTGACTCATTACTCGAAAGGTTGACCTTTATTTATTGTTTATTTTATAGATAGTTTGATAGAATTTTTCTTGTGCATTTATAGCGGTTGTGTCAATTTCTTGAAACTTTTAGCCAAGACTTCTCAATAAATGTGGTAAGTCATTTCTGCCTTGTTTTGAGATTTTGGATTGTTTCGAAATTCTTCAAATACATTCTTAGAATGTTTAAATTGCAACATAATTGTGCACCTTATTGAAATGTAATAACTTAATTGATAATATTGATTTTATCAAATTTGATTCATTTAGCAAATATTAAAAAACATTAATTAAATAACTAAAAGTAAATAGAAAGGCCTCTATATTACTTCGATAAGTAAATAAATGCTATTGTTTTTAAGGAAATACTTAGTCACTGTAATTGTAATTCTATAATTATAAAGAATTGATATATTTAAATATTTAACCTTTTTTTTAGCAATGTATCAATTTTTAGAAATTTTTGTGACAATGAATAAAGGATTTTACTCCAGAATAGGTTTGTGATTTGAAAATTAATCAATATTGAGAAAGCAATACCATTTTAACATGAATTTGTTTTTGAAGTGGAAACACAAATTTATTTCATTTTCATCTTATTTTGGAGGGTGCATGAGTTGGGTTAGGTTGAAGTAGGGGGAAGTTTATTTATTTATTATTATTATTGTTTTAATGGTGTCTTGGGTACACATTTAGCCAAGCCTCAGTATTTTTAATAAAATATTTTGTGGTAGGGGGATGGGTCAAAAATTCCAGGGGCAATGACAACCAAAAATCATGGCAATGGCAGTCAAAACCATGACCGTGACCGGTGACAGCTGAGAGTCTGATTCTCCAGCCATCAGATTACCACATCCCTTAACAATTTTCAACTCTATGAAATTAATAATTTTTTTCAAGAATTTAGTATGTTTATTTATTTTTGTTATAACTACGTAATATTGTTACTGTTGCTAGCATCTTCTGGGATGGGTAATAACCACTTGAGGATGAATGATTAATTTCATTCACTATAAATTTAACTCTTATATTGATTATGTTTAAAAAACATAACTATGTTTTGAAAAACCATAACTTTCAATATTGTAAGATGTTCATATTTGTTAACCTTATAAATTACATTCACTAATTTGGTGGTCTGCTTGACCAATTAATACATTACAATTAAGGTTTTTCATCTCAACTAAAAACCTTAATTAATTGTAACTTATAAATTACCAATAAGAGGATTTATTTCTAGAAGGATTGATGAAGAATCCTGAGTTCCAATAAGAACTGATAAGTTAATTATCAAAATCAAAAACTGATTTACATTGAGTAATTTTAGATACAGAAATCGTACCTTGGCAATATTAGATTGTTTTTGTCAGGATAGTTCGATACTGAGTGGCGTAAGAAAAGAAACTTTATCATCTGTACTTTTCCTATCAGATGGAGTTATTTGTTTCTGAAGTATCTGGAAGTCTGACAAGTGTTGTCTTAAGTATCGGCATTTCTTCCCTTATTAAATGTCATCTGTATTTTCAGCGGTC